CCCGCCGAGCGCCGCTGCTCCGGAGCTCCGCGGGAGGAGGAAAAACCAGAAAAATGATAGAGAAAAACCTATTAATATTAATTATTATTATTATTTTTACTATTATGTGGAGCTGTGTGTGTGTGTGTGTGTGTGTGTGTGTGTGTGTGTGTGTGTGTGTGTGTGTGTGTGTGTCCAGTGAAGGCAGCTCAGTCAGGGGCCGCAGTGGCAGAAACGCTACCAGTGATGCCAAATTGCTTTCCAGAGTGGTACCCCCCCCCCCCCCCACCAACAGCTCCCCCCCCACTCTGTGGGGGGGGGCTCCTGGCCCCTGGGTCACTAACTCCATCACCAGATCAGGAGTAATAATTATTAATACCCCGTGAGTGTAAACGCCGCGCAGGTGATTTATCAAAAAACATCAATTACATTCTGCGAGAAGTGACAACTTTTTACAGCCGAGCGGGACCCCCRGGTCCTGCTGGAGCTGCAGGTACCTGACAAATAAAAACACTGACGTGTCAAAACTACACTGCTTTTTAAGGACAAGTGTTCACCGTCTGAATGGACTTATTTGATGAAAGAAGAATTAATGAAAACATATTTTTTTAAAACTTCGGTCACGTAAAAAGTAGAAACAGAATAAAAATAAAATGTCTATACAGTATCAGATTATTAATTATTATGATCAATAAATGAAGCATCAGTTTGTGGTCAGTCCTGACCTTTTGAGATATTTTGCTAACAGACACACTGGGCTGACTCTGACTCTCTGCTACTACCAGCCGGAGTTTTAGCTGTGTAATCCTGATGGAGTCTGGAGTCTGTTTAACTTCTGATTAACTTCAACACTTTGAAGTTAAACTAAAACATATTTCTTTTTTATTTAACTTCAAAGGATTCAAGTTTATCAGAAGTTAAAACAGAAAGTTTGAGACGTTTGTGAGACAGAGCTGAGAAATATTACAGCTTCTGGTCTCTGAAAACAAATCAGCCGATTCATGACATCAGTTAGTTTAATAAATCAGCTGTTTTTACTGGATGGATGGATGGATGGATGGATGGATGGATGGATGGATGGATGGATGGATGGATGGATGGATGGATGGATGGATGAAACATGTTTGAACCAAACATTGACCAGTGCTAACAGCTAACAGCTAACAGGTCTCACCTGCTGATTCAGGTTCATGTCGAAATCTGAGTCTTTTAGCTGATCTGCTGTTTCCTTTATTTAATCCAGAGATGTCCAGGTCCAGGTCCAGGTCCTGGTCCTGGTCCAGGTCCTGGAGAACCCTGCATGTCTCAGCTACTTCTCTGCTTCAACACACCTGCTGATCAGTTTTCTGCAGAACCTGAAGAGTCTCTGAGGAGCAGGAACCTTCTGAAACCTGCAGGATGGAGCAGGCTGTGACATCATAATGACTGACATCATCACGACTGACATTACACAAATGACATCACACGACTGACATCATCACGACTGACATCATCACAACTGACATCCCACGAATGACATCACACGACTGACATCATCACGACTGACATCATCACGACTGACATCATCACGACTGACATCACACGACTGACATCATCACGAATGACATCAAACGACTGACATCATCACAACTGACATCCCACGACTGACATCACACGACTGACATCACATGACTGACATCAACACGAATGACATCACACTACTGACATCATCACGGCTGACATCCCACAACTGACATCATCACGACTGACATCATCACAACTGACATCCCACGACTGACATCACACGACTGACATCATCACAACTGACATCCCATGACTGACATCACACGACTGACATCACACGACTGACATCATCACGACTGACATCACACGACTGACATCATCACGAATGACATCACACGACTGACATCATCACAACTGACATCCCACGACTGACATCATCACAACTGACATCCCACGACTGACATCATCACGACTGACATCATCACGACTGACTTCCCACGACTGACATCACACGACTGACATCATCACGACTGACATCACCACGACTGACATCCCACGACTGACATCACACGACTGACATCACGACTGACATCACACGACTGACATCATCACGAATGACATCACACGACTGACATCCCACGACTGATATTACACGAATGACATCACACGAATGACATCACACAACTGTCATCACACGACTGACATCATCATGACTGACATCACATGAATGACATCCCACAACTGACATTATACAAATGACATCACACAACTGACATCATCACGACTGACATCATCACGACTGACTTCCCACGAGTGACATCACACAACTGACATCATCACGACTGACATCATCACGACTGACAACCCACGACTGACATCATTACGACTGACATCATCACGATTGACATCATCACGATTGACATCATCAYGACTGACTTCCCACGAGTGACATCACATGACTGACATCATCACGACTGACATCACACGACTGACATCCCACGACTGATATTACATGAATGACATCACACAACTGACATCACACGACTGACATCATCACGACTGACATCCACGACTGAATTCCCATGACTGACATCATCACGACTGACATCATCACGACTGACATCACACGAATGACATCCCACGACTGACATCATCACGATTGACATCAGCACGACTGACTTCCCACGACTGAAATCACACGACTGACATCATCACGACTGACACCACACGAATGACATCACACAAACGACATCACACGACTGACATCCCATGACTGACATCATCACGACTGACATCATCACAACTGACATCACACGAATGACATCACACGACTGACATCCCACGACTGACATCCCACGACTGACATCATCACAACTGACATCCCACGACTGACATCACACGACTGACATCCCACGACTGACATCCCACGACTGACATCATCACAACTGACATCCCACGACTGACATCATCACAACTGACATCCCACGACTGACATCACACGACTGACATCATCACGACTGACATCCCACGACTGACATCATCACGAATGACATCACACGACTGACATCACGGCTGACATCCCACAACTGACATCATCACAACTGACATCCCACGACTGACATCACACGACTGACATCATCACGACTGACATCATCATGATTGACATCATCATGATTGACATCATCACGACTGACATCATCACGACTGACATCACCACGACTGACATCACGGCTGACATCCCACAACTGACATAATCACAACTGACATCCCACGACTGACATCATCACAACTGACATCATCATGATTGACATCATCACGACTGACATCACGACTGACATCACCACGACTGACATCCCACGACTGATATTACACGAATGACATCATCACGACTGACATCCCATGACTGACATCATCACGACTGACATCACACGAATGACATCACATGACTGACATCCCACGACTGACATCATTACGACTGACATCCCACGACTGACATAATCACAACTGACATCCCACAACTGACATCACACGACTGACATCATCATGACTGACATCCCACGACTGACATCCCATGACTGACATCCCACGACTGACATTACACAAATGACATCACACAACTGACATCATCACGACTGACATCATCACGACTGACAACCCACGACTGACATCACATGACTGACATCATACGACTGACATCATTACGACTAACATCATTACGATTGACATCATAGGACTGACATCCCACGACTGACATCACACGACTGACATCATCACGACCGACATCATCACGACTGACATCATCGCTGAGAGAAGAAACATTTATTTTTCTTTTCTAACTTTTCTGAGGTGAATTCTCCAGGTTTCATAAATACTTCTGGATGCCTGAAGAACAAATATTAATAATTAATACGTTTGATTCAAGCAGATGTTCCTGAATCTGATTTTAAATTAACAGAAACGTCTCAGTTTGTGTGAGAAGTTTAAATAAGGAAGAAACTGAAGCTCAAACTGTTAAAGTTAAACAAGTCGAGTCTGAAGCTGCGTCACTTTTATCAACAAACAAAAAAATGACATCTCTTCCTGCAGCAGAGCGAGGAGGGAACTCTGATTCTCTGATTTGTTTTTAGAGTTCTAAAATGATTCAAATCCCAAACAAAAGTGGCTCCTCATCATCATCATCATGAAGAAGAAGAAGAGGATGGATGTCATCATCAGTTTTATTGAAAGGATGTGTGTGTGTGTGTGTGTGTGTGCGTGTGTGTGTGTAGGTAAGCTGAGCCGAAGAGACGCTGACTGTGTCGAATCGCAGCAGCAGCAGCTCCAGACGCCAGAGACACCCCACAGCCCTCCTCTTCCTCCTCCTCCTCTTCCTCACTCGCTTTGTTTGAGCTCAGATGGACTCGGCTCTGATTTATAGAAAGAAAAGCCCTCAGTGTCGTCATGGTGATATCTCTCTTTGCCCCCCCACCCGACACACACAGTCCACTGCATATCACCACACACACACACACACACACACACACACACACACACACACACACTGACCGGCTGAGGTGACGGCTGTCACACGGCTCAACGTTTCCTCTGAGTCAGCAGAAACGAGAAGAGGAGAGTGATGGAGAGGAGGGGGAGGAAGAGGAGGTCATYAGGAGAAAATTTAAATTTCTACTGAAAACTGAACATTCCTCAAAAAATAAAARCAACTCAGCAAATTATTCAAGACGAGCGGAACAAGGTGAAATCAAACAAACGAAAGAATTTACTCTTAATGCGGGTCTGCGCTCAACGTAAACAAAGCACGTTCACCTGCAGACTTTACTCAGTGGATCAGAGCAGAAAAACATCGACACTGATCTGTTTTCAGCCACTTCAGCTGTTTTTACAGGAAAATCAAAGGTTAATAAAATTATTAATAATAATGAAGTAAAAAAATTAAATCTCCACAAATTAAAAATTTGTGAGCTAAATTTGTGACCTGCTATCAGCTG